GAAAGATCTGCTCTCTCTCGCCACAGGGTGCAGAACTATTGGCTTGGAGTAGCAGAGCACAGTTCTACTCATCACAGAACTACCACCAAATGACAAGTCATATTAAGAAGTACAAGAGTTTCCAACTGGAGGAAACGAACTAAGTTCCCATTACCGTGATGGTCCCCCTGCATGCACACTTATTTCCTGCATGCGCTCTGCCCCCCCAACGCATGCACAGCACAGACCCAAAAGCCAGCTGGCTGGCAGAAGGCACACATGCATGTGCATGAAGCTGAGCTGGGGTGACTGCTCTTGTGCCCTCAGAGATGACTCTGCGTGCTACCTGTGGCATGCGTGCCATAGGTTCACCATCACGGTAATGGGAACTTAGTTCGTTTCCTCCAGTTGGAAACTCTTGTACTTCTTAATATGACTTGTCATTTGGTGGTAGTTCTGTGATGAGTAGAACTGTGCTCTGCTACTCCAAGCCAATAGTTCTGCACCCTGTGGCGAGAGAGAGCAGATCTTTCTACCATTTGGTGCACACAGTTTCCTGTACTAAGTTCCACACAGTAAGCCTGAGTATTTCCGGGTGCTTTCTAATCTTTTGTTTTGCTAGTGCAAACTACACTTCTCTAAAAAGGAGTTACAATAACATTTTAAAAAGAAAATAACATTATTTACTTTTCTCTCTCTCCCCACCTTGCCCTTCCCTTTTTAGAAAGAGATGAGATGATGCAAGGGTACAAACTCGGCTTCTGCCTCCAAAATGCAGTTTATTAAACAGCACTAGAAAATCATAGTAGCCAACATATTTCTGGATTTCCAATGTTGTCCTCACTCAAGCACACCTTGAATGTTTATGTTGGACACAAATGCCATTATAAACTATCTGTGAAGATATTATAAACAGAAATCTAAAAAGAGAAGGCAATAATGTAGACAACAAGCCCTTAGAATTTTCCAGTGAAGCTCATTCAGGCCACAACACTCGTCACCCGATGTGGGCTTTGCAGAAGATTCGGGATGGAAAGTACCGCCACGTCTCTTCAAGTAAAGAGAGAGTTATATATTACATTTAGAGTATTAGACAAAGATGGGGAGCATATGGTCTTGTGCTGTACTTAAGTAGATTGATTACGTTTATTCAGTAAGGCTGTTACTATCTTAGCTATTCATCTGTTTGTATATGTGTAACTCTGTTTATCACAAAAAGCTTGTCCTAAGTATCTCTTTTTGTCAACTGGAGAAAAACTGTTTGTGGATGATGTGTGTAATCAGTGAGTGATTGTTCCTATGTCTTGGCAGATTACCTGGATACCGACCTGGGAAATGAGACAGTCTAGAGAAACTCAACCAGGACTTTATGCATTGCCCTCTCTTGCTTGGCACATTCCTCATTTCTGCAAATAGAATAGAATAGAATAGAATTCTTTATTGGCCAAGTGTGATTGGACACACAAGGAATTTGTCTTTGGTGTATATGGTCTCCATGTACATAAAGAGAATAAAATACATTCATCAAGAACAAAAAGATACAACATTTAGTGATAGTCAAGGTTACTAATAAGCTATCAAATCATATTAGGAAACAAATGAAAACAATATAAATTGAAAGATACAAGTAAAATGGTTATAATAATATGTTGGAAGAGATAGATACTAGGAAGGGAGATAATAATAATAATAATAATAATAATAATAATAATAATAATAATAATAATAGTATTTTGGCCAAATTAAGAGTGATAGCCT